CTCATAAACCCCTAATCTACCTCTGCAACCCCCTCAAGCCAGAAGGGGCACTGCATGGTGTTGCTGCTGTCGTTGTCTCCATGGGGGGCCCCCCTGGGGGCCCCCATGGGGGCCCCCCTGGGGGCCCCCGCTGTGTAGGTGATAGAGAGGGGAGCAGGGGCATCTGCTGCAGCAGCAGCAGCAGCAAGAAACACCCCTTCATCTATCAAAGTACAAACAGCGTAGACTGTCTTTGCTTCCCATGCTGCAGCAGAAGCAACTGCTGCTAGTTCTGTTGTCGGCAGCAGCTCATACACAAACCTGCATATACACCCCAAAACCCTAAACCCTAAAAAACCCTAAACCCTAAACCCTAAAAAACAATAAACCCTAAATAACCCTAAACCCTAAACAACCCTAAACCCTAAACCCACCAAACCCCAAACCATAAACCCTAAACCCTAAGCAGCAGTGAAGAGAGTCGAAGAAGAAGACAGAAACCCCCCGCAGCAGCAGCAGCAGCAGCAGCAGCAGCAGCAGCAGGAGTTGATTGGTTACCAATTGATCAATGCATGCGCATGCAGCTTCTGCTGCTCCTGCAGTTTGTCTAGCAGCCCCATAACTAACCATTGGACCGCCTGCTCCAGCTGTTCATCGGTGATGGGTGTTTCCCCTCGTTCTGCTGCTGCTGCTGCTGCTGCATCTGCTGCTGCTGCAGCAATTGCTGCTGCCTGCTCCTTCACACCACTCGGCAGACCCACAGCAGCAGAAGATGCCGTAGATGAGCCGCCAACACCATCAGGAGTTGCTGCTGCTGCTGCTGCTGCTGCTGTTGCTGTTGCTGTTGTTGCTGCTGTTGCTGCTGCTGCTGCTGCTGCTCCACGGGGGAGGGTCGGAGTTGCTCCTGTAGCATCAGAAGCAGCAGCTGGTGACGGTGCTGCTGCACTTGCTGAAGTCGGCGTTCGTGCTGCTGCTGCTGCTGCTGTTGCTGCTGCTGCTGCTGCTGCTGCTGCTGAAGATGGCTTAGCAGCTGCAGCACCTTGCTGCTCCGCGCTGCTAATCAGCTGCTCATCCTGGGCGGCGTCCTGCAGCAGCAGCAGCAACAGCAGCAGCAGCAGCAGCTGTATCAGTAGCTGTAGCAGCAGCACCAGCAGCAACAGAGAGACCAAGCAGCAGCAGCAACATACAGCAGCAGCAGCAGCAGCAGCAGCAGCAGCAGCTTACTTGTGAAAAGATGAATAGAGGGGGCGGGGAATGCCCAGAGGGGCTGGAGGGGTCAGCAGCAGATTGCTGCAGCAGACAGAGGCCATGCATGTGCAGCAGCAGAGCATCTCGGAACGCCTGTGCTGCTGTGCGTCTGCTGCGGCCCTGCAGCAGCGTTGCTAGCGATACAGGAACAGCAGCAGCAGCAGCAGCAGCAGCAGCAGGAGAAGCAGCAGCAGCAGCAGCAGGCTGCTGCTGTGGGTAATGCCTCTCTACCAACTCAAACAGCTGCACACAGACACACAAACAACACACAGCTTGCTGCAACCAGCAGCAGCAGCAGCAGCAACAACAGCATCAGCAGCAACAGCAACAACAACAGCAGCAACAGCAGCAACAACAGCAATAACATTAACAGCAGCAACACCACAGGAAATCAGAGCTCGGCACGGCAGCAGCAACAGCAGCAGCAGCAGCAGTAGCCACAGCAGCGCGGCAGCCAAGCCCAGCAGCAGCAGCAGCAGCAGCAGCAGCAGCAAAGAAGCACAGCAGCAGCAGCAGTTTACATCAGCAGCAGATTGGTTCAATACAATGACCGCTCCGTCCTTCTTTCGGTAGAGGCCCCGAGGGGCCCCCCGGGGGGCCCCCACGGTTGTTGCTGCTGCGAGCTGCTGCTGCTGCTGCTGCTGCTGCTGTTGCTGCTGCTGCTGTTGCTGTTGTTCTTCCCCAAATCGTTGATCCTCAGACGGTCCTCCAAGCCCTTGCTGCTGCACCCCCTGCTGCTCCACTTGCTGCTGCTGCTGCTGCTGCTGCTGCTGCTGCTGCTGCTGCTGCTGCTGCTGCTGCTGAGGGTAGTCATCTAGGGTGTCTGTCCACCCCCCCTCAGCCCAGGGCTCTGAGTCTTTCTCCTCGAACTCTGCTGGCAGCAGCGGGCTATCGAATGCTTTCAATATATTTTCACCTGCTGCTGCTGCTGCTGCTGCTGCTGCTGTTGCTGCTGCTGTTGCTGCTGCTGTTGCTGCTGCTGCTCGGGGTGTGCCTGTGCTTGCTGCTGCAGCAGAACTGACCCGTCTAATGGGGGAACCGCCAGCAGCTCCAAAAGCAGGAAGAAAAGGTTGTGTCTTTGCAGCAGCAGCAGAGTGCTGCTGCTGCTGCTGCTGCAGCAGCAGCTGCTGCTGCAGCGTGTCGTGCAGCACGGAGGCCTCGAGGCAGCAGCAACGAAGTGCTGATGCTGCTGCTTGGGCGGCGGCCGGCAGCAGCTCCCACGAATGTGCATTGGCCAGCAGAACTGCAGCAGCAGCAACAGCAGCAGCAACAGCAGCAGCAGCAGCAGCAGCAGCAACAGCAGCAGCAGCAGCAGGAGAGTAAATTAAGCTCGAAGTGAAGGCCGAGGGAGTGGTAGGGATATGACTTTACAGCTGGGCGTGCAACAGCAGCAACAGCAGCAGCAGCAGCAGCAGGAGAGCAGCAGCAGCAGCAGACTGCAGCAGCAGCGGTAGAGAGCAGCAGCAACAGCAGCAGCAGCAGCAGCAGTAGAGAGCAGCAGCAGCAGCAGCAGACAGCAGCAGCAGACAGCAGCTCTGCGGCAGCAAGAACCCCGCGTGGCTGCCCCCTTCTAATTTGCATGCACAGGAGAACAAAAAACAATAAAAAAGCAAGAAGCGCAGCAGCAGCAGCAGCAGCAGCAGCAGACAGTTGCAGCAGCGGCAGCAGCAGCAGCAGCTGGAGCGGGAGATGAAGGGCTTGACCTACAGGCTGCAGAAGCTGTGCCTCTTCTTGCTGCTGCTGCTGCTGCTGCTGCTGCTTCGGGTCGCTTGCGCGCCGCGGGGTGCAGCGGGATCAGCTGCTGCTGCTGCATGTGCTGCTGTTCCTCCTGCTGCTGCTGCTGCTGCAGCTGCTCGTGCTGCTGCAGCAGCACCCGCAGCTGCAGCTGCCGCTGCAGCATCCCCCAGTAGCAGCGGAAGCTTTTCTTTAGGGCCTCGCTGTCTTCGGTGCCAGCAGCAAGCAGGCGCAAAGCAGCAGATACTGCCTCCTCTCTCCTGCTGCTGCTGCTGCTGCTGCTGCTGCTGCTGCCGCTGGTCCGCCCTGCTGCTGCTGCTGCTGCTGCTGCTGCTCTGAGGCCAGAGCGAGAAATGATTTCGTCTAGCTGCACCTTTTGCTGCTGCTTCTCCTTTCGTCTGCGTTTATCTCTTGCCACCACGAGCTGTTGCTGCTGCTGCTGCTGCTGCAGCAGCTGCTGCAGCTGCTGCCCTGGTACTGCTAACGCCATCTCCTGCTCTCCCCCTGCTGCTGCTGCTGCTGCTGCTGCTGCTGCATCTGTTGGGCTGCTGTGCCCCCAGCTTGCTTCCTCCTCAGGCACCTGCCAGTCTCCTACCCCCCCCTCTTGCTGCTGCAGCAGGGGGCCCCAGCTGCGTTCAGGTGTATGTACAGCTGATAGAGAAGCCCCTCTGTCTTTGCTGCTGCTGCTGCCTACAGAGGAAGGCTCAGACGGCAGCAGCGGCCGCTGCTGCTGCTGCTGCAGCAGCCGGAAAGGGGAAGCTACCGCGGGGTCTACTGCTGCACCCACAGCCACCTCGACGTCTAGGGGGCCCTGCAGCAGCAACTCATGGTGCTGCTGCTGCTGCTGCTGCTGCTGCTGCAGCAGCGGAGTTGCAGCAGACAGCAAATCACTCGCCACAGAGCTGAAGGAGCTGCGCCGCGAGATGCCTTGCTGCACTGCTGCTGCTGCTGCTGCAGCAGCTGCTGCTGCAGCAGACTGCCACGGCATCAAGGTCCAATGGTTTGGTCCACTTGCTGCTGCCTGCTGCTGCCAGCTGCTGCTGTATCCTCCTGCTGCATCCGCTGCAGCAGCTGCTGCTGCAGCAGGAGCCACAGAAGCAGCAAGGCTTGTCGTGCTGCTGCCAGCTGATGCTGCTGCTGCAGCAGCAGCAGAACCAACCCCACCGCCTGGAGCCCTCAGGGCCCCCAGCTGCAGCAGCTCCTGCCGCAACGCAGCAAACGGAGAAGCAGCAGCAGCAACAGCAGCAGCAGCAGCAGCAGAAGAAGAGGGACGAAAGGGGGTAACGCCGCCAGCATCACCGAAGGACCCCAAAAACCTGAAGCACACACACCAACACTTGCTGCTGCTGCTGCTGCTGCTGCTGTTGCTGCTGCTTCTGCTGCGAATGCAGCAGCAGCTGCTGCCATAGCCTCTCTATCTGCCGATACAGCAGCAGCAGCAGCAGCAGCAGCTGCTG